TTTTCGTATGCCCATCGACAGTACCCAACTTTGTGAACAATATTTGCACACTACTGACACCTGTGATGTCTATGTAAAAGCACATGATAGTGTCATGCTCCGCAATGGTAGCGTGGCATGGGGAGCCTCACTAATGGCATCAATGGACCGGTTTGACACGTCAGTCAAATATGAACCAGCAAGGCCTCTGTAAGTTGGACTTGTTGAGCTGACAAATAACATGGAACTGAGAGCTGAGAACTGTCCACATATTCTTACTGGAAAGAGCTGTCGAGATGGAGGTTAAACAAGCGTTAGCACTTGGTTCTTCCTTCATCATGCTCAGCAGACCACTACCGTGGATCACGTAGACCTCATCCCGGACACCCGCACAGAATGCAACATTGTATACTGAGTTTGGCTGTTGTTTAGACTGTCTGTCAAAGCACATGATATGACAAATGAATTAGTAGGGGTTTGTTGAGGGGTGAGTCTCTGGATGACTAGTCTTGCCGTCGCTGAAAGCCACTGGTTGTTCTACCAAAATACAAATAAGGTGGTAATATCCACTAAAACAGGCCTGAGAGTGTTGCATAGGCAGTGCAACACTCTTCGAACCTCGAGAATGTGCAAGTTGCGTAGGCCAAGAAAACAGTCTTTCCTTCTTTTAATGAGACCATACTGATAAAACCTTGTCTCTTGCCTTGTTACTCCTACAACCTAGAGCCAGGTTTACATTTGCAACTATGCACTATTGCAAGGGATACTCCTTTAATGCCTGCTGCTAAGTTGACGAGTGTCAGGTGCAAACAAATAGGAGCAACTGATCCACTAATCGTCTACCGCCGATGTCACTACTTTTGCCCTTACTTTCCGCCTTCCCGTACCCATTGCTAATGGAACTGTATTACTACTGCACCACCAATAGGCATAAATTCTTCATTGCAATCGTTATCGCAGGTCTCATGTCTCTTTGAAGTTCGTGTTTTGGCTATCAAACACCGTTTAAATTGCCATTCTTCATTCAAGTTCTCGACATCACTTTAATTAACTGGCGTGCTCTTTTATTTTGTCAACTCCAACCTAGTAGAATTTAGAAAATCTTAACATTCCGAGGGCAGAGAGCTCTCTAATGTGAGCCTTAGTTTCACCCCAACAACGGCCTACACATTTATTCTACGCCACTACGTTTAGACCAAATTCTATTTTTCTCTTCATTTTAAAGCTTTTTAGAACTGTGTTTTATTTTTACTGGCACAGGGAAAGCCAATCATTTACGCATGAATTTGTAATTCTGACTTTTGCGAGTGATATCATGGAAAGGTGTAGGTGATGACTGTGTGACTCCCCATTTTGGTTTCCGCTGACTATAGCACATTAGTGATTTCTTGGTGATTGGAGACACTGAAGAGCCACTGTTTCACCCTGCTGAGTCGGTTATTAACAAGTGGCAGCTTCTTACTTAGAGCAAATTTGTCCTTTTCTCCACCAGATACTGGTGCTATTGTTGCAAGGTGGA